CACACTCTCACACACACACACACAGATACAGACAGACACACACACACACACACGCGCACTTGCTCTAGAGTCTAGAGCAGTGCTCCGCCAACCTTTCCGAAACCCTAAGCGCAAGATTCCCAACGCGGTGACACCTTACTGCACCACCGTGAAGTAGCTACAACGACCAAAGTAGCAAAGACGTTTGTATATGTTGAACGCCATCACGCCCAAATGCCAAAGACTCACAAGGTCGGAGCCAAGTTGGAGCCCTTGTAGGTGTTTTTGCTAGTGGTTGCCTGTGACAGTAGCGAACCGGTACACAGTCGTTGCGCAAAAAGCAACTGGCGCACCCAATGGCAAGCAGAGCAACTGACAAGCTTCAAACGACAATGTCACTAGCAATGATGTTCTTGCTAATGATGCTCTTGCTATCTTTGTTTGTGTCCCTTCCAGCCCGGCCCAGGTCCGTCTGGTGCAGACGAATCTCAGCACAGGGGAGCAGTGGATGATCGCTGTTGAGGGTGGCGAGGTCCCTCTCGGTACAGGGTTCCGGTAGTCAGCTGCTGAGGATGTTGATAAAGGTGCTGCCTGCCGATGCTGATGACGATGCTGATGGCGATGGTGCTACTTGTGACGCAATCATCGATGACAAAAGCAAGGAGAATTCTGTAATGATGGTGTTGATGATGATGGTGATGATGATGATGATGATGTTGAGATTTACGGACGATGGCATGCATAATATCTAAAGCCAGCATGGAGTACCAAACAAGAACCACCCGCCTGCAAACTGGATGCCAACTATGACCTGAACAACAAAAACGCAAGCAGCAACAATACCAACATCCCAAATGATGCAAACAACCCCAGCGGCACCGAACGTGCAGCCAACGACGCCATCTACCTTCGCCGCTGCCACCCACCACCACGCAAAGAGGCAGCAGCAGAGGCAGCACCAGTGGCAAAAGCAGCAGCAGCGCACAGGCAGCAGCAGCGGCAGCAGCTGCAGCGCCACCGTCACCCCTACGACCATCACCGCCAAGGCTGTCACCGTCAAGAAAAAGGAGCACATCAGCAAGAAAAGAGTTTGCAGAACAAGTCCTGCAAGCTTCAGTAGTGACGATGATCAGAACATAAGTGCAAATGGTGATGACATGGTGGCATTGGCCGCCGTGGCCACGAAGCACTTATCGTCGTCCAGGTGGGTGAGGGGTAGAGGTACCAACAATTATAGCGCTGTTGTGATGATGTTGGTTTTGCGTTCACGTTGCTAAAGGCATTTATATCGCTGTAGGTGTCAGTAATGGTCATGGTGCAAGTCGTCGTCGTAGTAGGAGTGGGAGGGGGAGGGGGAGCGGGAGGGGGAGCGGGAGGGGGAGGGGGAGGGGGAGGAGGAGGGGGAGGAGGAGGAGCAGCAGCAGCAGCAGCAACAGCAGCAGCAGCAGAGAGCAACAGCAGCAGTAGCGGCAGGAGCAGCAGGAGCAGCAGGAGCAGCAGCGGGAGGAGGAAGAGGAGCAGGCGTGGTAGTGCGACTTGTGTTTCGATTCGCAGTCATATTCAAAGCACTGTTCTAGGAGTCATGTTATGCTACTCTCCACACGCATGATCAGACTCGACTTGTAAAATGATACACCACTAAATTCGCCAGCTGCTCTTGTCTTCGCCCAGCCGGTTTGAATCCAACCAGCTTCTTCGTTCAAGATTGTTCATGAGAGAGATCTGCAAGCATCCTCCACTGGCCTTTCCGACCTCAAAGCCGGTTAAAGTTACAGCATCTGGAGCCGACCGCAGGTGCCATCGTCGTCAGCAACGGCCTCACCGGAGGCTCCGCCGGAAGTCGCCCCGGAGGCTTCAGTTCAGGCTCGCTCGTCTTTTCATCACAAAATATTCGGCACCAGTGTCACCAGTGACTAATATTCCTCGGGGGTATTACTGTCAGTCGTTCTGTACTTCGGTCGTTACTACCACTCTTCTCACGACTTCGAAGCGACTGTTTAGTCACAGTCCCCTGTTCGCGGGTTCAGGGACCTTTTCAGCAAAACAAGGTTCAGGTCTACTGTACTCTACTCTACTATACTATACTATAATATACTGTACTATACTATACTATACTGTACTATACTTTCTGCGGGTCCCCATGCATAGACTTCTCACCGAGACCGACTGGCGAAGTTGGCAAAGCGTGAGCCAGATCTCCTGACCTGCTGAAGCCTTGCAGTCACATTATCAGTCACAGTAGAGTAATATACTGTACTATACTATACTATACTATACTATACTATACTATACTATACTCTCTACTATACTATACTTTACTATACTATACTATACTATACTATACTATACTATAAATACACTACTATATGAACACCCAAAGTCCTTCATCCGCTACGTCTTCGACTTGGAGGCTGATGTCTGCGAATCCCGAAACCATCCTGAAATCGGTGGGTGCAATGGGCCGAGGGGATAAACTTTGGGATTTAGGGGTTTTTGGGGCGGAAGGCTGCTGTTTTCAGATCTTCGCCATGTATCCGAATCCCCTCAAGCCTTGACACTGAACGCAAAGTGTTGACGCCCTGACACCGTAATTCCAACCCTCAAGCCGCGGATGCAGATCCCAGTATATGACACCCAGACAGTAGTATACATTGCCTTGTTGTAGTCCAGCCGAGCTCCTGTTTGTATTTTTGGCGCCATGGTGTGCGACGAAAACTCCTTTGATTTCACATTCGACCTCCACTGGATTCTGCGGGTGGTTCTCTTCTCCTTTGACATCTGGTATTTGTTGGAGTCTACTTCGTTGTTTGGTGTGCTTCGCTGTTCAGATCATGCATTCGCCCTGCAGGAACCTGCTGCTGCAGAGGTCCGGGCCGGCGCAGACGGCTCCGCCGCCTTTGTCCACCCGGCGATGTTTCAGGTTTTTGTTGTCTTTTGATGGTTGATGGTTGAGGTGTAAACCTGCCTGATGACTAGGCTGTGCAAGGGTTTACAAGAAGTCGCTTACGGCTTCCCTAGCCCTAACTACACTCTGGGCTTGTGACTCAGCTCGTTTTGAGAAGGCCTTCCCAGAGAGCTGAAACCAACAGGCTGCCGGTGCCTCGGAGCCACGTGCAGTGCCGACGGCGAGGGGGAAGTCTGCCCCCCGGAGTTGCGAACCTCGTTTTTGCAACTGGCAGAGTCTAAAAGGAGCCTGTCAGCCTGTTCGCTGTTTCCATTGCAGAGGCCGAAAGCTTTCATCTACAAAGCTGCCCCGGATGCCACGAAGCTGGTTCCCGAGGTGATTGAACCACCTTGTTGCCTGAGCTTTGCTCCGAAAGCACGCTTTTAGCAAAAGCACGATGTATGTAGCTGCACTGAACAATTGCGTTTGCGATACACACGGGTTTGTTCTAAGGAGCTTTATTCTTGCGACCTGGGTTTGGTCTACACACTTGCAATGAACGTCAGATCATGAGATGCAGGAAGGTTGAGAGAACACCTCGGCATCCTAACCCGCAGCCTGTGACAGCGCAGTAGGCGGCTGTGGAGTCGAGTTGCGGCAGCATAAATGTCTTGATTCAAGGTTGTGAAGCTTTTTCGACAGCTTGGAATTGTGTGAGTTCTTGCTCGATTGAAGCAGAGAAGAGTTCGATTCTACGGAGCACTCGGCGCAATCAGGCCGTGTAAGAAGGGCCCAGCAATCCCCTGCAAGGCAGTTGGAACAGTGACCAAACTGAGTCCTGAAGATCCTCTCCACTTTGCAGAAATCTGCGTTAACAGGTATTTGTGAGAAGCAGCTCAAGCTGCAAACTTCCGAGCTTCCAGCTCTGCTCCCCTGTCCTGAGGCACCCGCCCAAGAAAAAGAAGTGGAGCCTCGCCCCAGGCGGGAACAGTCAGGTTTGGGGTTGCTGTTGGGTTGGGTCATATGATGTCATATGGTGACTCCTCAATTTCAAGGCTGTCATGTAATATAGGGGCCCTAACAATTAGAATAGGGTTTGGGGTACGGTAGATTATACTATAATTATAATAAGGAGCGTCCCCCCCTACCCCCCTATTCTGATTCCAATTATTAAGGCTGTCATTTACAACTCCCTCAACCAGCTCTCAGTCCTCCCCGAAGAACCATCTCAAAACCCCGCTCACCCTACACCCTGAACATCAATATATTATATATTATATATTGTATATTATATATTATATTTTATATTATATATTATTGTATTGCATATTGTATATTATATATTAAATATTATGTATTATATAAAAAATCCCCGAGCTTCATCAGCCTGGAGCGCAGGTCAGCAGCGGACGCGCATCGCTGGCCCGAAGCCGAAGGTCCACAGCCAGGGCTTAGAAGCGTGAATAACTAAATACGTAAATGAATAAAGACATGAATATATATATATATGTATATATATATGTATATATATATGTATATATGCATATGTATATATGTATATATGTGTATATGTGTATATGTGTATATCTGTATGTGTGTATATGTGTGTATATATATATACATAGATAGATGGATAGATAGATAGACAGATAGATATACGCAAATGTCTGTCTGCCTGCCTGTCTGTCTGCATGCATGCATGCATGCATGCATGTATGTATGTATCTATGTATGTATGTATATATATATATATACATACATATGGGAATCAAGCGTGGGAGTATGGGACTCGGGGGTTATGGGAGTTCAGCGGCTGGGGGTTCTTTTGTTGGAATTCGGAATGGCTACTAAAGGTTGGGTGCTCACGGCCGGGACTGATGCAGTGAGAGTTTCCAGGATGTAAGAGTCTCGGCCTTCATTCATGATTCGAGGTTCAGGGTGCTAAGCACCGGTGTTCGGTGTTTTATACTATAGCCGCTTGCCGTTGTCAAAGTCACTATTCGCCACACTTGGTCGTTTTCGAGGCCGTTCCGGGGCCGCAGCGCCCTGGGCCACCCGGGCAGGCGACCGCAGCAAAGGCCCTCGGAACCTTGGGAGCAGCAGGGGCAGTAAAATTCAGGGTTCCGGGTTGTTTGGGGTAGCAGAAATGATGAGAAGGACAAGGCGGGAGGTGAGTTTTGCATCGGAAAGAGGTGCATGTCGGTGTTGTAGATCCAGGACTTTCGGTACTGTCAAGGTGAACTCGCTGTTACTTGCAGGGTTGCATGAATGCTGACACAAGTACAATGTCTCGAAGCATGAAAGCCTGTATGTTCAGGATAACAGCCGCTTTGAACACAGGGCATTTCGTCATGGGCCGGCAGGCGTCCATCGAGCTGCCCAAGGGCGTCGAGTGGCCAAAGGCCTGCAAAGCCTCCAACATGCAGAACATCTTCCAATGGTGTACTGCTAGGCTGTTGATGCTTACATAACCCTAGCCCCTCTAAGCACCGCCATGATTTCGGCAAGACAGGCCGACAAAGCGCGGCGTGTGGCCGAAACAGTCTTCACAGACATGCGCAAGCCGGAGCCCACAGAGTGGGTCGGGCTTGAACAGAAGTTCACTTCGGCTCGAGTTCAGCATCCCTTTCAGCTCGCGTGGAGCCGTGGGATCGTGAAGGCTCTGCGGTCTGGGGCCGCTGGCCGTTAAAGCCTTACCCTAAACGCCAAAGCCCCTCACGCAGGAAACGTAAAATTCCTGTGTAGAAGACCCGATGACCTCCTCTCACAGACTTTGCCATGCCCTTCCCGATTGAACGCCACTGGAAGTTCTGCTCCACGGTGCAGCAGCAACAGTTGCAGTACAACAGTTGCCATTGCGGCCCTGCGTCGCGAGTGATGAGATGGTCGTCGCGACCAACCGATTGCAAGCAAGTTTACAGTCATCAATGTCGTGCTTCAAGAATCTGAGCAAACAAACTCGTAGCCACGAGACGACGATCGCACCCACAGCATTGTTTCAAATCTGTAAAGATCATGAGAACAAAAACAGTGTCTACGAGGGAGAGATCTAAATCGGCACTCATTGCGCTCCGCCCTTTTCCAGAAAAAGGTCCCAGAAGAAGCCGCTTTCCCATCGCCGGCGAGCATATATGGCCGGGGGGCCCTGGATTCTTTGCCGAGCCGTGCTTGGGACCATGTCTAGAGAGTCGGATTGTGTGCTCATTCCTGTTTGCAGGCTGTTTCGGTGCAGCCGAGCATACCAGATTTCGGGACCGATCTAGGGTAGAGGTTTTGAGGTTTGGAGATGCAGGGCTGGGGGAGTGGACGAGTCTTAAGGATATCGGCTTTTGGCTTTTGGTGTCTCAGGTGGGTAGCCGTGGAATGAGTCCAGACTAGATCCCATAGGCAACGTGCTTGCGCCACGCATCTTCACCTTGGATGCAAGGCTGCATGTCTCAGCTGGCATCCGGACAAGAACCTGAAGCACCAGGACCGCAATGTAGCCCCCCATTGGCTCCTCGGTGCAGTTCTCTCCCAACAAAGCCGGAAAAGACTCTCCAAAAGTCCCAACTTCAAAGGCTAAAAGAGCCCTGAAAGGCCGCAGACGGTCGGAGCGGAGCCGGGCCTTTCTGAACCATCTGAGAAGCACTGAGCAGCTTAGCAAAACACACAAAGCGACAAATCCACGCCTGCCTCCGAAGGAGGTCGCCACAGAAGTCTTCCAGTTCCTGCAGGCCGTCAAAGACTGGTATTTCGAGGCTCGGGGGGGGGGGGGGGGGGTTTGAGTTTCGAGACTAGTCCTAGCCATGACTGCTCGAGGTGTGACCAGCCGCATCTTGGACACCAAGCTCTGAGCTGCGTTTGCCACTTCCTTGGGAGCAACTCCCGCAAGGTTGGCTCAGGACTGGCGGATGGAAAGTTGAGACTTCCAGCCATATTCAGTTGTAGTGAAGCTATACTGCTTCGCGTCGTCGTATCCTCCAACGTTCGGCCAGTTCTGGTGCTCTACAATAATGATGCACTCCGCTGGAGTCCGCTAGAGCTGTGCTCACTAAGTTTCATCCCTGATGGTCGAAGATCGGCCTGTCGACAACATGTTGCGGGGGGAAGTTGAGAAAGATGCTGTTTGAGGCTTCGGGCGATCTTTCAATGTTGCAGATGTCGGGGTCGGTGGACATGTGTGTAACGTCTATGCAGTCTATGCATGAGCATCTCAAGAGACACGCAAGAAGATCGAAGACGGATAGGGCATCGTGGGATTGGGTAACAGTGCTTAGACGGCATGCATATTCCCAACTGGTGGCCTGCGATAGGGAGCTGCGAATCCAGCTGGCACAGCGGTTCGACGTCCTTAGTCCGGTGCTGACGGCCTTCCCAACACAATCGCTGTGAGAATTTGTTGCTCTTTACTGTTGTGACATGTTCTTCGTTGCATACTGCTATCACTCCAAAATTGAGCATCTCTGCGAGCATGGCGGCGCCGCTGGCAGAGCTGACAGGGCTGCGTGCAGTCGTTCCAAAGCTCCTCAACTTCCTGAAGGAGTATCACATGCAGAGTTCTGCACCTGAGTCGGGGCAGCGAGTGCAGCAGCTGCTCCGAAGCTCGGCTGTTGATCAGTCAGCTTGTCCTTTTTGCCAGTGCACCGTGGTGGGCCAGGTTGTTCTTGTTTTTAAAGGCTTGGCCAAGGGGTGGTTTGCCCCAGAGGCCGCTTCAAGACAAGACAGGGAGAAAGCAAGAAAGAAAACAGACAGAAAGGGACAGAGACAGAGAGATCAAGAGCAGTAGGAAAAAAAGAACGAAAGAAAGACACAAAGAAAGACCTACGGAAAGAAAGAACCAAAGAAGGCTAGCAATAAGTAGATAAGGAAAGACAAATAACTATAGGAGACATAACCAAAGAACTACATGAATACAGAAATTTAAAGCGAAAATAAAGACAGCAAGCAAGAACGCAAGAAATACACAAATCACGAACGAACTAAATAATCAAATAGAGAAAGACATAAAGAACAACATAAACAAATAAATCGACCGAGGGATGTATGATGAACCGAAATCGCCTTAATGAGGGTGCATGTTTAAGATAAATGAAGAACCGAGGGGGCGGGTTGAATTTATTCGATGTACTGGAATCGTCAAACGAGATGTGTGTTTCAGAAATATGAAGAGCCGGAATCGCCACATGAGGGGGTGCTTTAAATAGAAAATAAAATAAATACATACATAAATAAATAGAAAAATAAATAAATATACAAATAAATCTATGAGTCTATGTATATATATATATGTATGAATGATGAACCGGAGTCGCCAACTGAGGGGGCGTGTTAAAGATATATGATCAACCGGAATCGCCAAATGAAGGGGTGTGTTTAAGATATATGATGAACGAGAATCGCCAAATGAGGGGGCATACTTAAGATATACGAAGAACCGGAATCGCCAAATAGGGGGCGCCAAAAGGAGGGAGCGTGTTGAAGATATATGATGAGCCGGAATCGCCACATGAGCGGGCGTGTTGAAGATATATGGTGAGCCGGAATCGCCGTGCAGAAGAAGCCCTGCAAATTGTGATTCCCCGGACTTCCCCAATAGGTTGGAGCAAGAGAAGAACCCACTTACGGAACTTCTCCAATAGCTTGCTGCATAAGAAGACCCTACAAATGGGACTTCCAACGAATGGGACTTCCCCAATAGCTTGCTGTAACAGTAGACTCACGAATGGGACTTCTGCAATAGCTTGCTGCAAAACAAGACCCCACAAATGGGACTGCCGCAATAGCTTGCTGCATAAGAAGATCCTTACACATGTGAAAAAGTAGATTCACGAATGGGACTTCCCCAAGAGCTTGCTGCAACAGTAGATTCTCAAACGGGACTTCCGCAATAGCTTGCTGCAAAAGAAGACCCCACAAATGGGACTTGCCCAGTAGCTTGCTGCATAAGAAGATCCCCGATGGCTTGCTGCAAATCCTCTGCAAGCCCTGAACCCCGGAGATTGTGAGCGCGTGAGACCCAAGTTTTCCGACAAGGAGATGTGGCGCAGGGCCGGAAGCGTGACGGAGCACTGGGAGCTGTGACTCTGTCCGAGGAGGCGGTGGAAGAGGCTATTGCTGCCTTCGAGGATTCACCGAGGGCCAAGGGTTTGAGGAAGTGGGACTGTGGTTTCAGGGGGTCCGTCGACGGCTTTCGCCTTTGACTGTTTTGGGGAGCAGGCCGTGGTCTGTGTTCAGTTCCTAGCGCTGAAGCCAGATGTCCCACACCTGAAAAACCGGCAGAAGGAGCTTTTGGAGTGCTTTTGGAGGCATGTTTGACTTTCCGAAGAGAGTAGGGATCATTTGTTTGACCTGCATGAACACATCTACTGCCAATATGTCCAGAGGGGTGCTTTTGCGAACCAAGGCCCTGAACCCGGAGCTCCCAAACCCTCAACTTCGAAGCTGGAGGACTGGATGAGGGAATGCCGGCCTGGCATGCCCTGCTCGTACTGGTCGAACCAGCACAAAGTTTACATCAAGGGCTTTGTTGGAGAGATGAGCCTTGGATGTTCTTGGTGTTAATCTAGGGGCCAGGGAAACTAAGAGGACTCTTTGCTAGTGCACCTACGATGAGTGGTAATGATGCCGAGGTCGCCTTTAAGCATATTTTCCATCACCTTGTTGGCTACGCGAACCAGGGGCCCCGCTTCGGAGCGTAATTGGGTCTTTCTGATACAGGGAGACCCGGATGCTACTTTGTGTTGGAAATAGCCCCGCTTGCCGATGTAAATCATCTCATCGCTGTCTTCTTTTCGTCTCTTGCCTCACTTTCGGCTTCAGCACGCACGACCCATTCCACATCTTTCAACCCTTGTCCGAGGGAAGGGGAGTACTTGAACGTACGTGCTTCGCCGCAGAAGGCCGCGGATCTGAGAGTGATGGGAGAAGCGACAAACGTCTTTCCCCGAGAAGATTCCGGATGGTATGTTCCGCCACTTCCAGAAGCAGCTGCCAAGTCTGAAGCGGTAAAGCAGACTCTGCACAGTGCCTTTGGCAGAACAGACGGCTTGCAATGTTTGATGCATTTGAGTGCAGGTGGTCCGTTCAATCAATGTTTCAAGGCGGCTTGATCTTTCTTCAGGGTTTGGGCATGAAAAGCAAGCCTGAATCATGATTTAATTGATTTTTCTGATCTTCGCAGGCTCTCAGATAATCTAACATCTAACATGGTGAAGAATCTTAGCTGAAGGCGGACCGTGGAAAGGGGAAGCCGGGCAGCTAAGGAGTTAAAGCAGACTTCGATGGGAGGCAGTATGGCGATGAGTATTTAATCCTCCAGGAGGGTGATCTGCTGGAAAATCAATTCTCGGAAGAAGGCTGGGAATGGGCCCGAGTCTTTCAACGTGCGGCCCAGTCCAGCCTTGGACCTACGGAGGGCTGGTACCCGCCGAGCTTTGCCGAGCCCCAGAGCTAGCTGCCCGATGGCATCCAGCAGAAGATCGGTCCACTGAAGGCGAAGGCACTCGCCAAGCGGGTTCAGGAGCCTAATGCGGAATCCACTAGCAAAGTCCACGCTGTGTGTGTCCCTTCGCCCAACCAAAACTTTATACCGAAACAGCTTTGATCATGCCTCGTTTCTCTTTGCTGCATTTCTCTCTTCAGCCCAGTCAAGTTGCACCTAAAGGATTCCCATGTCCGTCTATTCTTGGAAGGCCGTCGTGCAGAGAAGCCGGGCCACGTTCATCCAAGTGAGCACTTGGATCCGTCGGCGGCCAAAGAAAGCTGTGCTCACGCGCAGTTGTGGATGCATTGCATAGAAACAGTGTTTGTTGGATCAGGGCCGCAGCAGACGTGCTAGATGGATTCAGAATCATCATGAAGCTTCGGTTCACCTGTGGGATCTTAAAGGCGATTTTGGGGTTGCAGTGGTTTTCTTGCGCCGTCCGTTTCTGTTGTTGCTTGCTGTATACATATGTATATCTTTATGTATATCTTTATGTATGCACATGTAAGTATGATGCTATACGCTTTCTATGTACCGTATAGGCAGCTTGCATGGTACAATACTTGTCACATGTGGTGTATTCCATGAGGTTTCAATGATGTTTGAGAATTGTCAAATTCAAAGCATGGCGCATCTGTCTGCCAGTGAGAACATATGTTGTGTACACCGTATCTTATGCTCAATTTCACGGGCACGTATCTCCCCCGACGGTCTCAGCAAAGCAGTCTTGCCTGACACCAGCTTATCCCCAGCACGGAAAAGGGCTCGGGGACGCAATTCGGGATTGGTGCGTTGGTGCTGACTTCGTGTTGGTGCTGCGGTATGCAAAAGTAGAGGCAGGGGTCTTGGAGTACCTTACTGCACAGGTTCCAGGATGAACTGGGTGTCCTGAGCACAGCGCTTGAATTGTGCGTGGCTTGCGGCGTGACTTTCCCAGCGAGCAAGCCTCGAGTTACATTCGTCTTGCAGCCATGAGCCAAGCTGCAGGAAGTGTCAAGCATCTAAGGATTGATTCTTCTGCGTAGAAAGCAGCTCCCTAGCGGTTTGCCCTCAACCACGTAGCGATCAGCCCACCCTACAGCAACCAAAGTCGAAGCTGATGTCAGATCTTTATGCCGCGACGGTATAGGTAGTTGCGGCCAAGAATGGCGTACCGTACGCTTTCGTGATGGTGGCGGCCGGCCCGGCGGATCCGATCTCGGGTCTGACGCTGGATGCAGCTGATATTCTCTTGTTGGCCCCCTGGCTGAATTCATAATCATACCTCATTCTGACTGGAAATCAGTGGGGTGTGGAAGACAATTTTAAGTGTGTGCATCGTGGAGAACCCAAACTGCTCAGTGCCCGCGCATGGCCTGCCGAGAAGTCGAGGCCTGATGTGTAGCTGGCTGGAAGCATAACACCGGAAATCCTACTTTCCAGGCATTTCTGGAGTGAACATAGCTGAGGTCAGCTTGCTGGTGCGGCCCTTAGTTTCCGTCCTAATCTTGTTCCAGCCGCGACCTTTTCCACCATCCCACTTGCTTAGACTGGAGCCCCCCGGCCATGCATGCCGCGCACTGTCTGCTCAGCTCTGGCTTGAGAAGGTTTAGGGTTTGGGGCTTGGTAGGGGAAAACACCTCGAAACCTGGAAGCCCCGTGAAGTTCTTGAACCGTGGCCCATGTCCTGAACACCCGGGACAGAGGCCATCACACTTGTGGTGAACAATGTCATTCAGAAGCAGTCCTGGCCAATTCCGGAGGCCCATCATCATACAGGTAAATAAATAAATAAGCAAATAAATGAATAAACAAATAAATGAATAAACAAGTAAATAAATAAATAAGTAAATAAGTAAATAATATATATATATATATATATATGTATGTATGTATGTATGTATGTATGTATGTATGTATGTATGTATGTACACACACACACATATATATATATATATATACATACATGTATGAAACACATACAGCATATATACTTATGTACGTAGAACCTTTATGCTCTATTTGACCCATCGCGTTTCCAGTATTCAACAATATTGAAACTGTTCAAGTGTTCACCATTTTTTCATAAGAGAAATCTACAACTTAAATATTTATTTTTGAAGTGTTGGCAAAATGTTTTTCAACAAAGAAAATTAAACAAATCTAACCCAGGTCCCAGATATTTACACGGAGATTTCGACAACGATTCAACCTTCAAAGAGTTAAACAAGTTTAAAGTTTTCACGAATTAAATATCTAGCATGTTTGAAAATTTAAAGTTTCAGTAAGCCAACTTTCAAAAAATCTAAACACTAAACATGAAACACATGTGAACTTTCTAAGCTTTGTCAACTTGTTAAACAGGAAAAGTTTCAAGTTTTAAACCCAGGTCCTAGATATTGACACGGAGTTTCGACAACGATTTAGACCTTAATTTTAAAATATCTGGATTTTTTAGTTTTGAATAAATGAACTTCTTGAAAGTTTTGAATATATAACTTGTTTGTAATGTTGTTATATTTCTGAAAATTTGAAGGGTTATACACAAAAATCTCTCCGAGGTCTTTAAGTATTTCAAACTTTTACATTATTCATAGAGGAACTTCTTCATTTATATATTTAGAATAAAATTTTCGAAGAATTCGGAAGGGAAAGGAGGGCAAAGGCAAAAACCGCGGCAAAGGCCGGCCTCAGCCCAGCAGGCAGACACCATGGATCTACCATCAGTCGGGATCACAAGCTCCCTCCTCGGCCCAAGCGGCAATGTCCAACAGGTGACACGACTCCTGCTCCGCCACGAGATGCAAATCCAGAGTCTTTATCAGGACACTCGGCTTCACTTGTACTTCCGGAATGGAGCCCAGTCCTTCCTTCCTGCCCAACTTGTATGGCATCGCAACGGAGTGGAGCCGTCTACGACAAGAGAAGCCGGGCAAGATCACCAATCCTTCCTCTGAGAGTCATCTTGCTCCAAGCCGTGCTCCAGGAGATGACAACAAAGATCAAACTGGTGTTGGCGAAGAAGGCTTCCAAGAGGAGCTGAAGTGGATCACGGCAGAAGAAGCCTGGAGTTACATGAAATGAAGCAATCAGGACAACAACCTCAAACAAAACAACCACACCCAGCCCATAACGACCACAGAGCTTTTGGCGTGTTTCAAGGACCTGGAGCCGGTGGTGAACCCGGATACCATTCGCCGCTTCGCCTCCATTCGCACACTGGTCGCCGAGCCGCAAACTGATTGGGTCCACTTCGTCTTGGAGCTGGGGCTTCGGGAGGGGGGCGACGACATGTGGAAGGCGTTCCTGCCCCTCGTCAACTGTTCTGCGCCATTGGGGGCACGTCTGCGCAGGGATCGCCCAGGTTTCTCAGGTCGCGCAAGCCAGTTGCAAACGGCAATGGGATGATGTCCTGACCTTAGCCTTGCGGTTTGTCTTGGGATTAAACAATCACTGGAAGCATTGCCGGTTTGCCATATGCCCTCCATGGCATACTCCCCGTTGCACTTGCTAACCCCAGTGGCGCAGCATGTTACGCGAACGCTACCTTGCTTGCGGTGTTGTGGGCTGCTTTTCGTGCCTCTCCGGTGGTAACGGCCATGCATCAGCTGGTTCAGGCCCGCAGTTCTTTGGACCTTCGTCCAGCCGCAACGCCAGCACGATGTGCATGAGTTCCTGCTCTACCTGCTGCCCAGGATAAGGCTTACCGGCCTTCTGGGGCGGTGGCAAATGAGACGCCTTGACAGCACAGTCATCTCGATTTTCGATACTGCTTCGACGAGCGATCCCCTTACTTTGGACATTCCTGCTGACACTCGAGGTCTTCAAGCACTATCGCCCCGGCCTGTCTACTCCGCCTAGCCTTGTCACTATCCAGCTGAAAAGGTTTCGCAGTGATGGGCTGGGATGCACCGTCAAGATCATCAGGCATTGCCGGGTTTTCATGAATTTCTCAGACTTCCTCGTTTGAGAACCCACACACCGTGACGGTTTGCTGGAAGGCCTACCGAGTGAGTGCAGCATTGATGCACCGTGGGATCGTACTTCTTCGGGGCATTACCAAGCGCTTCTGCGGACCGAAAATGTCACGTGGTTCCTGACTGACGATGCCAAATTTGCCGAACCGCAGTCCACTGCCTCACTGCACGCACTCAGAACTTTGGCGTATGCCCTTGTTTGCTCTGTTGAGGTTGATCATTGATGATGATGGTGACGCGATCTTTGTGTACTGCTATGCCATGCGTAGCTGCACAAAAGTGGGGGGGGGCACAAAAGTGCACACCTTCGAGGTGCCGGAACCAAAGATTCTGCCTTGTCTAGCTAGGCGAACGACTTCATTCGCTGCGTGCGGAAGAAGATGCATGTACGTAGGTATGTTGGTCTGTGGGTATGTAGGTATGTAGGTATGTAGGTATGTAGGTATGTAGGTATGTAGGTATGTAAATATGTAGGTATGTAGGTATGCATGTATGTATGTATGTATGTATGTATGTATGTATGTGGGTAATCAGCTGGGTGGTTAACAGTTCGCAAAGGCAGCAGTCGCCCACGTGTTCCCACCTCTCCGGCCATCTGTGGTGCAATGCTTATAGAGTGTTCTGAGTACTGTATGTAGTGTCAGTTGCAGCAAGACTTGGAAGAAGAATGACAACATTCATTTAGCTCGTCAGCACACCCGTAACACAAATGAAAACCAAAAAATGGAAACCTTCGTGGCAACATGATCATTTCCAATCCGAAGCTGACACCTGGAGAGGCCATCTCAACCATCCTTGTGGGGATCGGCCTGGGTGCAGTGGCCGCGGCATTTCCTGAGGTGTGCCCGCAACTTCTGGGTTGGGCGGGCTGCATGGATCATGTATGTTTGTGCGATTTCTGCTGTTCAGGCTTTCTTTTTCAATGGCGGAAAGACGCGAAGGTGGAAGCTCGTACAGTGGTCTGTTACGCACATGGAAAACACAATATCACGAATGCAATCGGAGAGGGTTTGTCCAACAGAGGAAGACTGCGAACTGGGACGTTAAGGGCCAATTCGGGCCAACATCATGCGAATTGAATCGCGGACTCATCTAAACGCCTTATTGCTGGAAGTCTTGACAGTATCTGGGCGGCTTGAAGCTTTCACACAGAAAGCCGGCACCGGAGCAGGTAAACCGCAGTACCTTTCAGAAGCTGGAGGACATGTCTGCCAGGCAGTTTATGCGACTTGTCATAAAGCTGACTCTCTGCATCAGGGGTATACGTTGGGCATCAAAGGTCCAGGAGCAGAAAGTATCCTTGCGTCGAGAGACAACGCAGACGAAGAGCCAGGGATCCTGAAACCAAACGGTTACTGCACCATCGTGTATTCTACTATGCCATAAACCATACTATACCAGGCTGTACTTAAGTTGCTATAATATATATATATATATACACACACACTATGTCCGCTCTCCAAGTGTCACTCAACGAACTCCAGACCTAGATACATGTAACTTACTCTACTGCATCCGTTTTGACACTAACCCATGCTCTTGCTTTGCCAATCCTATCTCGTTTACAGTTTCATGGGCCTCGGTTGAGCCCCTCACTGTCACTCCCTAGCTCGAAGGCTTCGGCTTAGATTCAGTGCTTGATGACCCAGTTGTAATTATGGCAGCGGAGAACAGCACTGTTTGTCAGCCGTTTTCAACGCAACCTCAGGCTGGTATTCATCGCCCCCATCATCTTCGCCGAAGGCTACGGGATGAAGAGCCAACAGTTCTTCGACAACATCACCCGCGCCCCGGCCGAATTTTAGTCAACTTCTTGCTCTTCCAACGGGGCCGCTTTTCTTGACGCTTCACGTCGCCCGCCTCGGCCCGACCAGAAGGCCGATGGGTTGCTCTACTGTTGTTTCGAGAGGGGGGAGGAGGGGTGTTGCAGGACAGGAAACTTCACCACCTGGAGCCGAACGGGTCCGGAGGCAAAGGGGGGGGAGGGGTCGCGCACAAGGGAGGTGTCTGGGAGGGGATTAAGCAGAGGGGAAACAGGGGATCCCCGTCAGAAACTCTGACCGCTTCGGCCGGGGCCGAGGCGACTGTAATCACTAAGCCCATCATTGTGATCATAGTAAGATCAAACAACGAAAACAATGCGTTCTGACGACACTGATAGTACTGTTACTATTGTTACTGTTGATTATTCTTTGTATCTGTGTGTTACTGCTGCTTTCTCGCTACCCTTTTACGCTTAGCACCTTTTGCTCGAAGCAGCAGCAGCAGCAGCAGCAGCAGCAGCAGCAACCCGTTGGTGGCTGCAGGAGGAGGACGAGGTCAACGGAGGAGCGGTAATCGTCATGTCCGTCGTCGTTGCAGTGGCAGTTGCATTTGCAACAGCAGTAGTTTTCGCCGTAGCAGTAGTGGTAGTGGTCTTCGTCCCCGTGGTCGGGGTCTCTGTCGTCCGTCGTCGTCGTCGTCGTCAATGTTTGTGTCGACTTGAAAGGTCGGATTCGAGCGCTCTCCCTGCCCTTACTTGCCAGCTTGAGCTGAAACTACTTGGGACCGCCCCGTGTGGAAGTCAATGCCGAGGAATTTTGCTGCACGCGTTTCTGGGCACGCTGATTTCGGCTCTTGCCACGCACTCAGGATTTGAGCTGTCATGTGTCGACCTCACCGAAGTTCTCCCGCCCTCGCCTCTCTCCTCAAGGGACTTGGGGGTGTAGGGCTTCCCAGGGGCAGAGCAGCCGCGAACGAAAAAGAGCCACAGGTCGTGGCGGTCGCAATCTTTTACCTTGTGCCGCTGACTGGAGCCTTGAAGCTGGAACTAGCGGAGTGCCTCGCCTTCGGCACCTCGTCTCCACCTATGCGTTGTGCCACATCAAACTGGAGGTTTTACGCGCAATGAGCCCGTTTGCGCATCCCGGATGCTTCAGGGCTTTTTCTGAAATCTCTAAGGCTCGAAAGCCCCCACCCCACGAACATCCAAGAACCAGAGATCCTCGTCTGTCAGTCTTTCAATCCTCTCGCGCCTCAGACTCTAACACTGCCGAAAGCCAAGATTCCAAACAAAGCCCACCCCAAATTCGGCAAGAAGTGGGGCCCAGTGGCCAGGAGCCATGATTAGCTCTACGGACCCGGCGCCCGGGCTAGCAGGAAGCATGTTTCCGATTTTTGCTCTCTGACAGGTTTAAGATCTCGGATATGTGGTGACAGACCTTGCTGTCTGAAAGGGGGTTTTTAGGGACTTGGAGGCGGGGACTCGTTGGTGGGAAGCCTAGAGCTTCCGGGCCGTTACCGCCTGTGGGGTAGGCGGAGGGGAACGAAGGCTTCTGCACGGCAACGGGCAGGGGTCGTCTCTTTGAGCAATCCGGGTGTGGACGGACTTGACAGTCTTAGACTACCCTAAACCCTAAACCCTAAACCCGGCCTAAACCCTAATTGTTAGACTCCTCTCAGAGAAGTCGGCGAGGTTTGCCTTGCACAGGGCTGGGTCTGCTGACATTCCCGAAGCGCTTGGGCTGGGGCAAGTTTGCTTAGGCCGTGGCTTAAATTGCAGCGCTCCCCAAGTTGCAAAATCATCCCACGATTCTGCGAGATTGCCCTGCCCCCCCGATTTCCTGATTGAAGCTACGGAGAGAGTTTACACTTCCGTTAAAGAACGACGATGTAGTGTCCCCTAAATCTTAAACCCAAGACCCTAAACCCTAAACCCTAACCCATAAACCGTAAACCCTCAACCCTGAACCTTAAACCTTGAACCCTAAACTGTCTCCTCAGGTCACCACACTCGCCATCTTCAAAGAGCAGTCGCTGGCAGAAAAGGGCCGCGGCCACCTCTACTACTCAGCTCTCGGCCGGCAGTGCAAGCGGTTTAACGGGTTTAGGGTTTAGGGCTTAAGGGTTTTAGGGGTTTAGGGTGCAGGGTTTAGGGGCCTTAACACTTCGCCTTCTGATCTTCCCGTCTCCTCTCAGAGAATCAGAGACGATAATTTTCAATCTTCCGAAGACTATCCATTGGGAGGACGGGGACCTTTTTCAGTGCCGAGAATGAATAGTGTGTCCGCTGAAGCTCGTGATGCATTCGCTACGCGAGTCGACCTTGAACCTGAAACCCAAAGCACTCTGAACGTCAAGCTTCAGACCCTCAGCTTGGACCCTAAACCCTACACATCCCTAAGCACTCTAAGAGAGCAACTTAGGTTTTAGGCGAGTCTATCCTGAACGATGCTGTGGCTATTGCCCTCTTCGGCAGCTTCGCCGACCTGGTTCGCTCCGGAGAGGCCGAAGGGGGGGTGACATGGAGAGCTGTGTGTGTATATACACATACATACCTATATATATATATATACTAATATATCAATATATTAATATATTGATATATTGATATATTAATATATTAATACATGGATATATCCATGAATAAGCTGTGATATCTAGTTGGAATCTAGCTGTTATATATTCATAATATAGTAAACATATACCTATAGTGTAGTTATCATAGATATGTAATAAAGTTGATATCGTCGTATGATGAGTGTTTAAGGTTCGGGGACTCGTTGAGTATTGTGGTTTAGGGTTGCGTTTTTTGGTATGGAGGTATAGCTTTCACTGTTGCAATGCAGTGATGTGGCCCCAGGTGATCGACGCCGCTGTGTCTGCGAGGACCTGCAGTTCAGAGAAATGCGAAACTTTAGGGGTAGAATTATGCATTTGCCACACTTGGGTCTGTCCTGGCACTGGATTGACCTCAAACGAAATCCGACTTTGGTCTAACTGCCCCTAGTAGAACAAAACTACCACCGTCCAAATGTCACACACGCAATCAATCATGTGACCAGCATGAGCAAGTGCAGATTTGCTGGGCATGGGATTCAATCCTGAATAGCTGCTGGTGTTATATTATGAGGCGGATTGAGTTTTCGAACCAAATGCTGCAGTATTGCTTTGACAGTTCTATCATATCATCTTCACAGCATTCATTCAGTGCGCAGGTCAGCAATGGTGCTGTCCTATCGCAAAAGAGTCTCTAAGAGTGTTTCCTGCCTTGTGCGGTTTTGAAAGTGTGATCGTTGTAATCGGCTCGTTAAACTTAGTTCTACACGCAGGGAGTCACTCAAGCACGAAGCCATATGACAGGTGCCCGTTTGTGCTGGCGGTTATGGTCTGCGAAACACGCCCCGAAGCAAGAACTGATGACGAGACAGCTTGCAAGAAGCCCATGCCTTTAAGCTTTGTCCAGACCAGAGGATCTTTCTGAATTTCCTGAAAGTCTTCGTGGCGTCTACGCTAATCGGCGTGGCAGGCACCTGCTGTGCCAAATGGCATTGATCGTTTCATATTTCCGGAAGCAGTATCTGGCCTGCTTTTGAAAGATGGGACTCTCGAGGTTCCTGACTACTGCTTACTGTCATGAGGAATGGAGATTCGGGCAAGGTCTCATGTTCACGTAAACCCTAAGGAAGCCACTAGCTCCTTTACCGCGGATCGTATGTGTACTCTGTGTACACCGTTAAGTTTTTTCGCCTGTCTCCTCGACTTTACCGGTAGTCCACTTGAAAGCTTGAACCCCTTCCCTGCAATACCCTCAGGGACCCTGCCCTACATGTCCAAACGCGGCAGCTAGCGCACTCTCGCGGCAACACGCCTGAAAGACACTGCAATCTCACAGAACACTTGGTGGCGAGATACCAAATCTGAGTTCCAAGGCCCTAAAGACCACCCTAAACCCTAAACCCCTAAACCCTAAAGACCAACACTCAGCCTTAAACCCCGACACCGCAGCCGCAGTACTCGAGGCGGCTTGGCCACAGCCTTCCTCCTGAAGTCTGCACGGCTAGGAGCCGGTTCGAGCCTGGGGCTCAGAGCCCTCGTGGCGCCATGAAGTTTATTATCTGTTTTAGTATATAGTATACAGTATGTGATATATAGTATATACTATATACTATATAGTCTATAGAATATAAAATAGTATATACTATATAGTATGCGGTATATAGTTTACAGTATGTAGTATATAGTATATAGTACAGGACAGGGCTTAGGGTTTGGGACGGAAGGCTTTCAAGGCATCGGACTGAAGGCTTCGTCCCTGCAAGGTGAAGGTGAGCATTTCTATTTCAACATCCCGGAGATCGGAGTAGCTCTTGCTGCTCGGCGGCCAAAATGTCACGAATTTGCGTCACGGAAACAACCGCCGCAAACACTGCTCGGGTCTCTGGTGCTCTCGGTGCTCTTGTCTCCGAATGCTCGAGCTCTTGTGATATTGAGTCGGTGCACCGCAGTCATGACACTAGCGGGAGCTTTGAATCTGGAACACTTTGTTTGGCAGGTATTCAGCTGAATCCTGCAAGCTCACTGCCGAAACTTTCTTCATCTGTCTGCCGAAACCCAACAACAGTCTAGAGTCTAGAGCTTGAGAGTCCGGCATATCGCGGAGCAGCTGAGGTTCTTGCCTATGTGCCCTTCCTTGCGGCAGAGGCTTGCGACCTTTCTGGCATTGTGGCGATTATGCCTCTTGACGGTGGTGGGGGAAATTTTGACTGAAGAGGGTTACAAGGCCACGTTGCTTTGCTTGTGAGTATCTGGGTTCAGATATAGACTGGCTATGTTTGGCGCCGGTAAATGTAGTTGTGGTTCGGTCATCTATGTCCGGGAGAGATTCTCCCAACCTAGCTGGCGTGATAAATCAAGAAAGACTTACCCACCACTGCTGCGACGTAGAGAGCTTTTACCATTTTGCTCCCAAGGTTTGCAGGCATTACGATGCGCCACTACGCGCACTTCAATCTGACGCAGGCTGGAATGTCTATTGCATTTCAAGCCACGAGTGAAGCCTAAAGGTATCTAAAGGTAGATTCGGCCCTCTGATTAGGCAGAAGCATGCCCACGAGCCAGTGCTGAAGCGGCAATCAGCACTAGAAATCTCAAGCCGCTCACGCCGAACGCAGGTGACGCGGCAGATTTTCTTGCCGACGGTGGAGCTCATAGCTTCCCTCTGCGAGACATATGACTCTTGGCCCTAAACCCTAAATCCTAGGGTCCTAGAGATGCAGAGTCTTCGGGCAGCTCATGGCCAGCGTGCAGGAAGTGGTTTTCGCCAAGGTCTTGCTCCGAGAGCATCACATGAGCTGTAGTACTAGGGCTCATCGGTTCCCCGTAGGGAGGGACATTGGATTGATGCGAATCATATTCCGTCCTCGTTGACGAACCACAATACGTCCTGTGGGGTGAATTCGTAATATTGACACCGCAGCTCGGCAAAACATCGTACTCCCTTGATGTAGGCCCAATGCAGGCATTGGGATGGCGCGTGAATGATACCAAGACCACTCTTGCACGCCAAACTTTCAACAACTGGAGGCTACGGCTACACGCGAACTTGCTAAAGATACATCACTTGAGATCCAACTTGGCACATGCCTTCCCTGCGTCCCCAGGGCCGGAAGCGCGAGTCTCGGAACCCTGCAACCTGCGAGGTCTTCATTCTTCTGGGTCTCGGGGTGTTTCTGCTCCAGGGCGCCTTTTCAGCGTCGCTGGCGCCTTGGCGAAAGCTGACGCTTCCTGGTTTCTGGTTACCTTGTGGTTCTTTCCTTCTAAGAGCATGGCTTTTCCTCAACAGGTCTACATTCATGTGGGGGTCCTTGCCCCCACACCCCACAGCCTCATGACACAGATCAATGATAGACCATCAGCTTCGCTTCAGATGCTCATGCCACCAACATTCCAAAGCCTTCGAAGGGGCCACTGACCCCCTTAGTGGTCATCGTGTTGGTATCAGGTTCAATGTGGCTGGTAGCCGAGCAAAGACCAATGGTTTAGCGACATTGATGTACCTACAGATCCGCATACACAACGCAACTTTGTTTGCTAATTGTTTGTAAGGCTAACCTCAAGTTTGGGTCCAAGTCGCCAGTGAAACCAGCTTGTCCCGAGCTACGAATTGCAGCCCGGCCCAAGCGCCGAGTCGCCTAAACCAAGCCCCAGCCACAGGTGATTTGGTCTGCCCTGGCTTGCCTTCTTGGCCGCTTAGTGCGTCCTGGCCTTCTCGCAAGGGTTGCAGGGTTTGGTTTCTGGTTTCAGGCCGAAGTACGTCGTGAGACGGTTTTCGGGAAGAGCAGGGGCCCAAAGACAGGGGGCGCTGATATGACTTCGGGATGTGTTGTCTGTTTACTCTGAGATCATGTCAGAGTCTTGTGTTGACTCTGACGCTATTTCGGGAAGATGTGTTCATTTTGTCTGCCGTTGATACGTAGATTGCATCCGTAGAGTAGATCAGGAAGGAATGAATCCTTAATAAGGGTGAACAAGAGGCTGGCATTTTTGTCGTCTGTCCAGCTTAGAACCTACAAGTTCAATGGATCTTGCTCCATATCAAGAAATGTAGGGTCTTCTTGTGATCCGAGTCCTGCGAGCACTTTGGTTTCAGCTGGAGTCCGAAGGATGGTACACGCAGTTCGGAGCAGGTTGTCTTGAATTCCTTAGAGTGGGGTTAACGGTTGAGAGCGCAGGTGTTCTAGATTGTATGGCTCGGGGAAATTACAGTTTCATGTGTGAGTGGTTTCGTACTGCGTTCCGTATGGGATGCTCGGCGATTCCTGGTTTTCCGTCCGTCAATCCTTGTTAGGTACAGGTGTTCTGACTTCGGACAGCCCTGAAAAAAAACAAGACATGGAAGTCATAATACCCAAAGGCACCATCGGAAAGAGCTTGCCTTCCGAAGAGTCACGGCGACTGTGCAGTTATCGCGACTACGCAGCTTCTAAGGCATTCTGCAAAGCCCTTCGAAAGCATGATGCGTACCAACACAACACGCAGGCATGTTTACCCGCTGTCGTTCCTTGCAAACCGCATCTCGACCGGGCCGAAGATGTCCGTGAAGGCCTTCCATCGGCCTGCGTGGTTGGGGGTGATGGGGGGGCATTACAAGTCCTTACAGCCTTAAGAGTTGTGGATCGCTGGCTTTTCAACCCTGCATCCGAGAGACCCACACCGATACTCTAGGCGCATGCACATGGCCACTGGGAATTTGGCAGGGCTTTCTGCCAACAGGCTTGGGCCGCCACCGTCTCCCTCGCCAAAGCTAAGTCAGTAGCCTCAAGCCGATTCCTACCAGTCGTCCTGCCATATGGCCAGAACCTGCCATGATGTTGATTGGATAACATAGCTGTAGGCCATGACGCTTCGGGCTGGCGGTTGAGAGCTTATTGAGCCCTTGATCTTTGCCGACCCAAAGGAGATGCACATGGTCTGGATGGCCGGACTGCGTGGAGTCATTGCCTTCATTTGCGCTCTGGGCTTCCCGAATGAGGCCCGGCAGCCACACTGCTGAAGTCTTGAGCCCGAGACTTTGGGGGTCTGCATCTGGTTCGTGGTGCTGAGAGCGTCCTGTGGCAACCCGCTCTGTCCATGGAGCCAAATCAGAAGCCAGCAGAATTCGAAGCTGCAAGCAGCGACTGCGTGTGCACCCTTCGACGTCCTAAGCCCTAAACCGGCCATGAATAGCTTGACAATCAGACCGCAAAAACAATGCAGGCCAGTCATCAAGAGTTCTTCCTTTTCACCACGGCAGTGGCCTCAGCCTTGCAGGCTTGAGAAGACTTTTTTTGGTCTTCCAGGCTTTCCGACATGTTAGCATGTCCTGAGTCCTCCGTTCTGAGCCCTGAATGCGCACCCAAGCCCAACATCCCCCACAGGCCCACACAGGCCACGCAAATCTCAGGTGATTGTGGTCGGGGCCTCTTTGGTCTTCCTGGGGTGGCCCACCGCCCCAACGCTGCGATGCTTGGGCCTCGCCGAGCCGGAGCCTGTGCCCTGGCGGAAAAAAGGCAAAAAGAGAAGTCCGCTGAAGGATTAAGACTGACTGCGCACTGCTGCATCTCCTGCCGCCACGAGAAGATGGGGGGTCGGAGCAGCAGGTGCAGGAGACGTATCAGGCTTCGGGTTTATAGGGTTCAGGGTCGCTGCAGCACCAAAGACCTTCTGCAGGAACCGCTGCGTGCTCCAAGAGCTTCCTGGTCCACCCTTCCCGGTGGCGCCTCTGCGCGGTGTGTTTCGCAGAGGCAAGGGCGAGGAGTATGAAGAGCACAGTAAGACAGAAGAAGGTACTTGCCGTTGTCGCTGTCATTGTAGATAGAGTCTTGGTAGAAGGGTATTCTAGTATTGCAAGCTGTTCTAGCTGACAACTACCCACCAAAGTAAGTACCGACAGCAGCAGACGTAGTCACGTGCAACACGCTACATTGGTCGTGTCTGCAGTACTCGAAAAAGCTAAATGAAATCCAAAACGCGAGTCGTGTCGTCTTCAGAGCAGACGACGCACGAGCAACGTGCTCACCATAATCCCAATCACAGGGATTGTAGACGTAGCAGGCTGCAGTCGTAGCGTAATCGAAGATGCCGCGAGGGCAGTTTTGGCAGGATTCGCAACGGCAGCAGCACGAGAAGCATAATCATTAGCAGCACCAGCGCCAGCAGCGCTAGCATCGTCGGTGGCGGTGGCCAGCAGCAGCAGCGACGGCGGCGGCGGAGCAGCAACCACCGCCACCGTCACCTTGATGAGCCTTCTTGCCTTCTGGCTTCGTCTGCACCGCAAAATCCAACGCTTGATGCCCTTGGGCCAATGAAGCTGGAAGAATCGCAACCGAGTTCCCGCTCTGCGGGTTGAGCCTTCTAGTAGCAAGTATCCAGTAGGTGCCGGCTGAAATGTTTGTTGCATGAGCCCTGCCACAGGATCAAGAAGCTGCGGCCGGGCTGCAAGGGGCCCGCCTCTAAACACGGCTAAGAGTTGCATTGGCAAAACTGCCACTGAGTTGATAGGAATGAGAACAGAAAACTTCCAGCATGGCTTCAATCGATGCCCGGAATCGTGTGTCGCAAGTTTTGCCGTCTTTGTCTTGAGTCACTCCTTGAGGCTTCTTAAGCGGGGCTTGCAGTGCGGCTCATGGTCATCATGTATGCCGTTTTAGACCCAACAGCCTGAGCCGCCAGACCTGGGCCCCGTGGGCAAGTTCTCGTCCCTAACCCCCAAAGCTCGACTCTTCTTCAGGTTAATGACGCAAGATGCTATCACGGAGGAACAGCTGAATCAATTCGAGGAACACCCGCCGGCGAGTTTTTCGGAAGGGATCGGGTTCGGTCAAAACTTTTGAGCTTAGGCGTGTCGGGCTTCTGGATGGTGGTGCATTCCCTTCCCGTTGAAGTGCTGGAATGTGCTGGAGGCAAGCCGTCGAATTCCGCACAGACATGTCATGCGCAGTTCTCGCAAAGGAAGGCCGGGCCATGAATGATGCCCGGAATGCCAATCTCCGCAGGAGTCCAGTGGCACTCTCGCCTCTCCGGCGGAAGCGGCCATGGGTTGCATGACAAGTCGCTGGAGCCGCTTCAGAGGCTGTTTTTAGGTCATACGGTTGATGATATAAATCCTGCATTGCCCACAATAAGGAATAATTATACCATAATTCCCATAGTTTAGGGTCCTTAAGGTAATGCAGGATTTATATCATCAACAGTAGGACGAGGATTGGATTGGCTTTTTTCTTCAGTGCATGGCTGGGCACACTTGCCCGCATTGTGGAGGTTTGGAGTTCTCAGAGGTTCGCAGGATCGTCAAGACCGGAGGGCTGCATGTGGGTTGCGAACCGGCTGTTCTGGAAAGCTATCGAAGGCAGTAGCCACACGAGGCACAAGCATGTATATACGACTGCCACAGAAGCAGCAGCTGCTGCTGTCATTTTCGTCGATGTTGTCGGCATCACGTTCGTTATTCTTCATCATTGTGTTGCAAGTCACCACCATGCTGTCAATTTGTTGCCGATGCTTCTCTGTCATGCTGGTGACGGTGATGATGGTCATGACTACGCTGAAGGATCATGGAAGCTCCGAGGATGTGGTTCATGATGTTTAGATGCAGCTGTTACCCGTGACGGTGATGATGATGATGATGATGATGCGGCTGCTGCTGACGATGATGATGATGATGATGGTGGTGATGATGATGATGGCAGACAAGCAGACGCTGCTGACGCCTAAAGGCAGGACAGGGACGTCAACCCTAGCGGAATAGTGATGGAGGTGATGACTATTGTTCTGGTTATTGAAAAGATGATGTTGGAGGTGGTGATGGTACGTGTATTGATGTTGTTGTTGATGTTGTTAATGACGGTCGAGGTGGCCGGACAAGCAACAGCAACGGCATGAAACCCTGAGCTCTAAACCCTAGTGCTAGTGATACGATGCCTGTGAGCCAATAGATGAGCATCCTCGGATAGCTCGAGCTACTCCCGAGGTGCTTCGGGGCCGCTGGGCCCCCGCTTTTCAGCGCCCGGGGCTGCAGGCCGCCATTATTATGAAATTTCGGAAAGGCAAGGGGCACGGCGGACGACGACGATGATGGTAATGATGGCGACGATGATGATGATGATGGTGGTGATGACGATGAGGATGACGATGACGATGATGATGATGATGATGCGGACGACGACGAAGATGATGATGGTGGTGGTCATGACGATGATACTGACAGTCGCGTCGATGACCTTTGGTATTGTGGCTACTCGTATGGTGAAGTCACAGTAGCCATTTTTGTCTTTGGCTTTATAGTCTCTTCCATGTTTTGTGCACTTAGTGCTTTCGTCTCTCGAACTTGAGCTGCTGTGTCTCAGATCTTCGAGAGAGTTGACGGCCTTTCTTTCGCGTTCCACTGCGAGGCGTCCGGGATGCGGGCTTCGATGGCCGCATGGGCCGCCTGTCAGCGCCCTCGCGGCTGCATGGCACGGGCAGGCCAGGAAACTGCGAAGCTGTTCCGGCTAAGGCTTTGCAGAGTCTTTGCAGTTTTGGTGAGTTGCTGACCAGTTAGTACTTCCACTTGGAATACGAAGTGCCACTTCACTCGCATAACCGCATGGCTGTGACATGCTACGACTGTTTTATAACCAGGCTTTGGGACTGTTTTGTACCTACAGAAGCAGATATGGGACCCGTAGAACCCACCGCAACGTTGACGTGGCCACTGTCGCTGCGAGTATAAGCTATGAGCGTGTCGGATCTCTTCGTCATTCTTCCATTCGTTGCATCCTCACCATGAAGGTTCTTGGCATGAACGGAGTGATTGATTCTTAGAGCACATGTGCCAGGGTGTGACTTTTTTCATGTCATGGATAACAGGAACAATTGCAGCACAGTTGCGACATCTGCAGCTAATTGCCTGTGAGACTGCGCACGCAGCGTCCACAAACCGCACGGAGATCAAAGAAACAAATGCCCTTCTTGCGATGCGAGGTTATCTATGCCAAGCCGCTCTTCGCGAATGCTGTGTGATATGTGAGACGCTGTCGATTTCATGCGGGTGCGTGCTTGGACCATCTCCTTCGATGAACTGGTTTGGAATGTGTGTTGGATGGCTCCGTGTCGCAGGGTTGATCTCAGTAAAGCAAGAAGTAGTCTTCATGGTGGTGGGGCGGTGGTAGGGCTGCAGAGTCAAACATTGAAAATTGGGTGTGATTAGGGCTCTAGATCTGCATGAAGGTGGCCAGCATCTGCATGTCCGGCTAGAGCGAAGAACGGCCAAAGAGGCATGTACGCTGCCCTTTCTCGAAATGGAGGTACCTGTCTTATGATCTTGCCACTATTGGTTAGCTTTACGTTTCGGCAGTAGCCGTAACCGTTAAGTTGAGCTCAATGTCTCACGCCTTAGTTCAAGTTAGCGTCAAAGCAAAACAAAAGAGTTCAACACCTGATTTTGGGGAAGAGCCTCGACAGCAAGTGGGCACTTGGCAGCGCGGAAGACACTTGGTCTCCCTAGCCCTAAATCCTAAACCCTAAACCGTAAACCCTAAACCCTGAACCCCGGGGTGGTTTCAAAGGCACCGCCGTTTGGGTGGCAAAGTCCTCGTTCGCCGGAAAAAGCGACAAAACGAAGACCGAAGCCAGGATGTTTTTGGATTCCAAAAGATTACCGAGTATATACTTATTATACCATATACTTATAAACTATATATATATATATAATATACTATATACTATAAACTATATGTAATATACTATATGCTAAATGGTAGCACATTCGCTGGATTCGGGCTTTGGGATTTCAGGGATTTCATGTTACAATTTGGGAGTTTGCCCAATTTTAATCTAGGGCGGGTGTGGGTTTCAGTGATTCTGGCACTTTGACAGGTTCAGGTTTCGAAGAGCTTCTGTATCTGGCCTCCATGGAAAATCTGGCTGGGGTGAACGGGACGGAGCTTTTGGCAACTGCCCAGAGGTTGGATGTAATTGTTCCCCAGTCGAAGTACATCGAAGTACTGTACGCCATCCTCACTGCTTTTGATCGAAGCCCTGTGAGCCTTGAAGCGCGGGGACTGTACACCCTTGCCCTCTTTGCTCAACCGCATGGGACAGTAAAGAATCTGCGGGAGGATGCATTATGGGGCATGGTAGTGCGAGCCAGCAGGTTGCCGACAATACTGGAAATCGGATGCAGTTTGATCAAGGATGTTCGACCGTTGACCCTGAAGCGTTAAGCACCGAATCGTTCCTGCAAAAACTTGCTTGCTACGAATAGGGTTGCATAAGCTGACAGCGCGCCCACGCCTTTCTCTATGCTCAAAGGTCGCACCTACCCCCTTACGCGGTGCATGCACATGGCTAGTAGTGCGCATCGGGTAGCATCAGCGCGAACTGAGTCGCATCTCGCTCTGAGCCTAAGGAAATTGAGCCGAATGTTCTTTATCCTAAGACCCCCCCCCTCCGCAAAAAAAAAGAAAAAAGTGACACTGTGACACTCTTGCCTCTAGCGAATTGCGGCCCCTCCTTTGCTGCTCCATGAGTGTTTCCGGACCGAATTGAGCTACATATGCGCTGTGGACCACAACGTCCGCACAGCCGCGACCTCAGCATCCTACTGGCTCTCGACGAGTCACCATGTTTGACGGGGGCCGGGCTCTGTCCCAAAAGAGGGGGTCGATGCAGAAGAGACCCTTCGTGACATCTCTCCGGCATAATATTAAGGCCCCTATAATTTAAGGTATATTCCTTAATTCCAACTTGCTTGAAATCCAAAGGGCAAGCCAACCCTTCGTCAACAGGTGCTGCAAGAGGCCGGTTCCAGCGTGCTCCACCGGCCCCTTGCCTTTGATCAGTTTTAATTGGGGGGATGAGGGGGCTTATGGTATTTTGGGGACTTAGGGATTGGGGACTTGCGGACACCCCCCCCCCGCCAGAGGAGCGTGGTCGAAGCTGATGTGAGGCGTCTTTGTCCCGGATACCCAGCGTATGTTCCGCATGCCACGGACAACAGGTTCTTTCAATGGTCCGGGATTGCTGAAGCTCTGATGCTTCTGCCAAAGGACGGGCGGCGTCCACAGGGAAAGCGGCTTGACCGGACTCTGCCAGGCGCTGTGGGACTGCTGAAACAAATTTGGACTCTTTCAGGCCCTCACCCTCAAACCGCAAACTCTGGACCCTAAACTTGTCCACGGAAAAAGTCTACTACTACTACTACTACTACTACTTCTACTACTAGTATCTCAATGTCTACCAGCTAGGCGCCGAGCATGGCCATCGCTCTGCCCTGGAGGCGGCTCAGGTCGCCAAGGCGGTCGAAGCCTTGGGAGCCCGAAGCCCCCGAAGACTCTAAGGGACACAACGATGGTTGAGACCATTGGTCAAACTTGTGAGAACAAAGCTTGGGATAATCAAACAATGCCACGACATCCCGTAACAGCCGTTTGACAGACGAGGTAGTCTTGGTTCGTTTTGTCTCTGGCAGCCTTGTGCTGCAGTGTGCTCTCTCACACAAGTGCACGTGCTTCGCAAGCGGAGCCAAACCGTGATCGTGATTAGGCATCACCTGGCTCCTCCCTTTTGGCTGAAGCTTGTGAGCTAGTTCGAAGAAGACGCTGAAGATGAGGATTGTGATGGTAATTCTGGCTGTTGCTGCGGTGGTGGTGGCGGTGGTGGTGGTGGTGGTGGTGGTGGAAAGATGACCCGTCTCGACAACACCTATCCATGTTGGACCCCCATTCCCCAGAACCCCAAAGGCTGAAGTTCCAAAGCCGCAACTGTCAGATGCAAATGTCACTCAATGACCGTGTTCTCTGACTTTTTCTCCGAGTTCGCTGCAGCAGCAGCCGCCGCTGCAGACGCTCGTGCAGCAGCAGCTGCCGCCACAGGTCCTCTGTGGGTGTGGCCTACGTGTGTCCATGGATACTATAGCCTACTCCGTACATCTCAGCCACCGAGAACAAAGGCATTTTGCTGGCCTAGCAGTCTGGCAGGTCTCTCGAAAGGCCCTTGACCCTTCTTAGTAAAGGCAGCAAGGCAAGGGCTTCCAGGCTCAGGGGATCTTTTGTCCGTACGCCTTGCAAACACAAATCCAGCAAGTGTACGTCTTCCAAAGACCCCAAGAACACTTCAATCCTGAGCCTGAGACCTTTTGCCGTTTGCTTCACAAAGCTATCTTCTTGGTATTCAGTGTTACAATGTGTTGCAGGGTTTTCTCCATTGCAGTGAAATATAGTGAAATGGAAACGAAAGCATATGCCGTCTTAGCATGCAGACTGATTTCGACTAAGCTGCACAAACGACTGACACTTTGCATGTCCTTGCATTCCGCAGTTGACAGACTTACACACGTTTTTCTTCATCTGCTGTGTGCACGAAGGGTGGTGATTGTCGCTTAAGAAGCAGAAGTGGGGGAAACCTCAGGTTTTGAGAAATACAAGTCTTAGTTTCATTTCCTGTTGCCCAGGAATCCGTGTCAATTTCTCAACTTGACCATCGCTTAAGTCATGCACACGTCTGTGCAGTTCGTCTTGCCTTGATTATGTGTTGAAGAAGTGGCAGGTTCAAGCAAACGAAAAGATGTCCCTTTACTTCCGTTGCTGATGGAAACACCAAAAGATTCACCTCGCACATGACATCCCTGTCACTGCACCCAGAAACTCGAAGCTGCTCGAAACTCCCAACCCGCCCAAACCCTGAAGCCCTCAAGCACCCGAAAGCCCAAGGCCCTGAACCCTAAACCCTAAACCCTAAAAGCCCTAACCCTAAACCCCAAACCCTGAACCCTAAACATCCTAAACCCTAAACCCCTTAGCAAAGCCCGGAACTTAGCACTCGTTCTCAGGACCCGGGGTCTCCCCGGCGCTCCTCAGCGACTCCTGGAAGCGGCGGTGCCTCCTTTGGGGGACAGGTTTTTGTTTGGGTTTTTCGTGATTTTTTGAGCCTCAATAATTACCAAAACTATTTTGGGGGTTCCTTATTATAATAGTACTATAATGGAGCCCAAAACCCTATTCTAATTATTCAGGCCCCTGCATTACCTGAGAAGGGCAAACAGACCACGCCCAGTACAGGAGTAGTTTTAGGAAGGAAAGTATTTCGCGGAAAAGGATGACAAGAGCAAGCGACAGTAAGCGTGACATTCTGTGTGACGTTTTGGGTTGAGCGAACAATCCCGCGGCGTGAGAATCGGGACTACAGTTCGGAGTTGTGGACCTCGCGAGCTGCTGCCATGAAGCATTCAAGGCTTAAGGAGAGTGGTCAGTGACCTCTTTGGATTTTCTGCAGCTGCCTCCAGACCAGCTGATGGAACTACAAGAAATCATAGATGCTGGTGCCAGCACCGAAGCATTTGTGTGCCCGATATGGTCGGCTCGTCATACGTCTTCTTGCAGAAGCCCAGGACGAAACCTCGCGTCAGATTCAATACAGAGAGCGCCTTTGAAACTCCGAGTAGCGATGAGCCAAGCCAGGCTGGCACGGGTGAGCCGGCCGGCGCTGCCAGTCCTGAGGCGAACAGCAGAAACGGAGGTTGCACAGTTTCGGATTTCATGCGTGTCAGCTCTCCGGTTTGCT